CTGAAAGAGTGGTCAGGCATTGGAACAGGCTGCCCAGGGAGGTGGTGGAGTCCCTATCCCTGGAGGTGTTCAAAAAATGCGTAGATGTGGCACTTCAGGATATGGTTTAGCAGGCATGGTGGTGTTGGGTTGACACTTGGATTTGATGATCTTAGAGGTCTTTTCCAACCTATGATTCTAATCTGGATTCTGCTGTATTTGTCTTCTCTGATCTCACAGCAAGAAGTTTGTCTGGACTAATGGAGAGCTGACATCTGTGCAATTTTGTCCCTCTTTTTGTAGGGAATAGAGACAGAGAGGCCCATTTTACAAGTGGACAGATACGTGTTTGCAGGAGAATATGAAGGTAGGAGAAATGATGTGGATATAGTATCTCCTTTTTCATGTGACCCAAAGAACTTTCTTAATGTCAGTTAATTGCACTGCAAATGGATAACGTGGTCCTGTGAGGTGTTGAAGTTCTGGGTGGTGTTTGTATAACACCATCTAGAGCAGCACCAGTCTGAGTTCACTGCTAAATTAGCCATGCATTCAGCTTACTTGCTGGAAGGTATGCCTGGAAGCTGACTGCAGGGTGTGCCAGCTGGTGTTTCTGCAGGGAAAAACGTGTGACATAAAATGCCTGAAAGTAAGGGCTTGTTGTCTCCTGTATAAGCAGGACTGACACATTGTGCAATCTGTCATTCTCCCATTTGCTTTATGGTGGCTACATTGGTCTGGAAGAAAATGATCTGTAATGCTGCTTGTATTGGCAAGTCAGCCCATTCCCAGAGCTGTGCCAGTGGGTGCAGTATCTACAGCAGGCAGAAATTAGCCTCTAAGACTTTCTCACTTTATTTTCCATAGATACCTTGGGAACCTGTGTGGTTTTTGAAGAAAACACAGAGCACGGTAATTGTGATTTGATGTCCTGTTCGTTGTGGTAACCTGTGAGGTTAAAAATAATACTTACCTTGTTTAAGTTGATAGTGGAATTCACTATAATGATTGGGGTTTGGGTATTGTTTTTTCTCCTCTCTTCATAGTAGATGCAGAAGGCAACCAAAAAGTACAGCTGAAATACAAGTGCCACACGATGAAGAAGTTGAACATGACACGGACACTTCTGACAGAGAAGAAGGAAGGAGAAGAGAGTGTTGGTTAGTGTCTCTATTCTTATGCATAGGGACATGGATGGGTTATGCTTAGGAGTGTCAGCCTTGATTAAGTGTTTCATGCAAGAGCATGCAGAGAGTTAGAGGAACTTTCTTCTTTAGGCAACATGTGTATATTTAAATAGAAAAATACAAAACACCAAAAAAAAAAAAGATATATTCCTTCTGACCAGTGCTGCCTCCACATGTGGCTGGTGGGAGATTCCTACAGAAAAATGTAAGAGCAGGGCAAACAGGTGCTGATGTTCCTTGGTATGTTTTTCTGTCATCTAAAACTTCTGGCACCAGTTCTGAAATCAGAGATGCTGTTTAGTAGTTCTTCACCTTTTCTTTTTTTTAATTTTTAACTTTTATTTCTTCCATCAGTTTTTCTAGAGACTCTTTGAGTCTCTGTAAGTGTTGAAAATATTTAATATCCTTAGTTACTAGTTCCATGTTGTATGTATACAACTGAATTATTCTTAGTGAATTTACGGTTAACTGTAAATTAATTCACCTTATTTGCAAAGACACACCTAGCAGACCATTCATATTGATTTTCATTCTGTAGGCAGAACAGTGCTCATATGTTTGCTTTATTTCAGTGGTGTTTTTTTGTGTGGAAGTCAATGCTTTTACATGGTGAGATATTGAGTATCCTACTATATATAGTAGTATTCATTAGCGCTATCCTGTTGCTGTTTTTCACTCAAATGAGTGTTACTGCTTCATATTTTAAGAATATGTAGCCATTTTACATTAAATATGGGCAGTCAGATGGACATCAGCAATAGGAGGTATAACATGAAATGTCATCTAGAATCTAACCAAACATCAGCATTCTTATCAACACCATGTACCATTTCTTCTCTCCATATAATAAAGTAGGTAATATTAAACTTTTTTTTTAAATGAATTTGAAATTTAATTTTAAAATTATTTGTAAAGTACGGTAGACTAGAGGATACGTTGCTTAATACAAAGGCCTGTTTTGTTCTGGAGAGGCAATAATGGTGCTGCATGCTGGAAACCACTTTGTTTCTGTACCCTGACAGAGTCTTCATGTTGTGCACACAAAGTAACTACAACATACTGTGATAGGGAATATGTACTACCTAAAAATCGAAGTGGGAGAGGGATCCCAGCCAGTTCTATTTGGAGTCCATTCGATATGTGTTGTAAGAGCTTGATATACTGGAGTTCAGGAGATGACACAAATTCTTACACCATCTCTGATGTCATTCCCTATCCTATTATCAGATTTTCTAAGATTTAGGTGAACAAACATTTTACTCTTTAATGCATTTATAAAATATTTTCTCAGCATTTTGAATTATTTAAGTTATTTTAAGACTCTCAGGGTGGTGTCTGACACCTAAATACATCAGAAAATGCCATGCTGGATTGGACCAAAGGATTTTAGTCCTGTGTTGTATTTCTGACTATGGACAGCAGTAAATGGGTACGTGGAAAGTAGGAGGAGGGGAACATGAGTAATCCTTTCTTTTGGCTGTCCTTCCAGCGTTCAGCAGTTCACGAATATCCTGACAAGAGTTTTCATCTGGACTACTATGCCTTTAGTCCATAAAGGCTCTGTCATCTTCACTTGCTTTTTGAACCTGTGAATGCTTTTGACTTCTATGACTTTTTATGGCAGTTAGTGTTCAAATCACATTTCTGCTGTATGGAAAAAGTACAACTTTACTGTGGGTTTTCTTGATTGTTAGCTTTTGTGGTTGTTACAAATGTATGATCTGGTGCTTCCAATGAGTGTAAGTTAGTTTGTTACGAGAATTAGGAGATAAGTCATTCCCTACTTGTTTTCCCAGTACAGCTTTATAAACATCTGTCCCCTCTGAGCTGTCTCCTCTGAGCAGAACTGTGATCTCTGTATTTTTTGTTGTATGGGGTTTTTTTGGTTGGTTGGTTTGGTTTGTTGTGTTTTGGGGTTTTTTTAAAGTCTCTTCCCATGTAGAGCTAACTACTCTCACCAATTCTTGTTTCTCTTTTTTAGTTTTACGGTATGGGTTGAGCAGGACACAGTACTCATGACGCAGACGTAGCATAGTTTTGTATCTTGACATTCTGAACCACACACAATGCCTCCAGTATCTGGATAAAAACCTGCAGCTGTATGTCTTGGTTGAGTTGGTTTGGCCTATGCATGTTGTTGTCAATTTATCAACAGTTAAGTTTCTCTTAATTTTAATCTGGTCTTTCTTTTTCAAATGCCTTTCTGTTATGCATAGCCTTATTTTTAAAGGAAAATTAATGGTTTAAGCCCCATGGTGAGACTCACCACAAAAATAAGTATTGGTCCAAATTTTTGAAAGACATCTTTCTGTCCTAAGTGGTTCTTTTACTTAAACATTGGTCAGGTTCAGCCTTAAGAACAGTGAACTTAAGAGTCAACAGCAGTTTCTTCTTAGTTTAACTCCTTTTGTCACTAATACCAGTTTTCCTTCTTTGCATCAGGTGGAGTGGAGTGGTTACAGATCAAGGACAGAGACTTTTCCTACAGCAGGCCTAATATGATTTGCAGCTTTCTGCGTGAAAAAGAAGATTCTGAGGAGTCAGCTCAGGCCCAAGACAAATTGGCCGAAGAGTCAGAGGGAGAGGTGAGTGGCGGAGGAAATTCTGATGTGAATTGTGACCTGGAGAAGCAGCACAGCTTGGAAATAGATGCCTCTCTTCCTCTGCCTGACAGCCCCGCTTCTGGGGCAGAGGATTCTCCTTCTGAAAGTGTTGCTTTAGATGATGCCCCTCCGTGATATCAGCTCTGATCTTGCCAGGATTTCTTCATTGAGTTAATGGGCCAACTTTTAAATGCCAACTTTTATAGGCTGTGGCATGATTTCCAATTTATCTGAGCAATTAATAGTGGAAAAACGGACATTGCATTCTTGTGCATTGCTTTTATGTTTGGATTATAGTGGAGAGGGCTTAAGTGCTTTGTAAAAATGCTGATCGGAAATGTGTGTGTCTCTACCTCAAAAGTGAAGAAGAGGAAATGATTACATAATTAACAAAACCCTACCTTAGAAAAACACTGATGTATTGTACAGTCTGGGACATTTTGTAAAAATGAAAAAAAAATTGTTTGAAATAAAGTCCTGAATTTTTCAAGTATAGCTTCACCTTGTGTGTCATATTCAGCCATGTACCATGTCTGTTCTTGTACTGCAGTTATTGAAAGAAAAATTCAAGTAAGTGTGGCTTTTATTACTTGTTCGCTTACTCATCAAATTGCTCAGTCTAGATTTTCTCTAGTGTCCTTTGTCCCCTTAATGGATCTTAGAAATCCTTCATGTGGGACGGGACTTCAGGAGGTCTCTCATCCAGCTTCCTACTTAAAATGGGGTCAACACTGAATTTGGGCCAAGTTGCTCAGGGCTTTGTCCAGTCAAATCTCGAAAACCCCTGTGGACTAGTCAGCAACTGAAATCTAGGTCTTAATGAGGCATCTGTCACTCTTCCTTCCCCCATTTTGTATGTATAATATAAAGTATGTTATACAGAAGGAAGTACTTTTTTTTTTTTTTTCCTCCCCTCTTCTCCCAGTAACTTCTTGGCTCTGATCTTCTCTGGCATTTTTCTGAAGGTTTTTGTGCCTGAGATCCTGTAACCATGCATCAGTGGTTCCCAAACTGAAGCGTGTGACCGTATTGTGGCCCCTAGCTGCTCTGCTACATCATTTATATTGTCAGTTAGTATTTCATGTAAAAGCTGAGTATGTGGTGCATTCATGATAATGGTTTTAAAAGCACAGCATTTTTTTTTAAAACATTTTCTTCCTTCCTACCTTTCTCTGCCTCCCTCAAAATAGTTTAACTGCAACAATGTTGTGGGGATGGAAAGGCATTAATTCCAGCAAAATTATGTAATACTTTAATTAGTAATGATCAGAAGAGAAGTTCACCCCCAGCGTTCTTCACAGCACAGGATCAGTAAAGATTAAGTCATCAAAACAGTGCGAGCGTTTCAAACCATTGATCCCACTATTGCATTTTCTACCCCTGTGAAAGCAACTTGAGTCATGGGGGAAGGGGCGGCAGGGAGAGGAAGGTGAGGAGGAAGAGGGAGCATGTTCCGTGCGCCTCCAGCCCGGGTGCGGGCCTTGCGTGTGGTGGTGTCTGCGCTTTGGGTTTCAGGGAGACCGCTCAGCCTTCCCTCTGGATTCAGTCGTGGAAGACTGAGAGAGTTGTCAGACTCTGTTTGCATGGTGCTGATAGACAGAGGGGAATGGTAACTGGAAGAGCGACCTTGGGAATATTGTGAGCTGCAGTAACGTAGGCTCTCACCTGCCGCGGGGAGCGTCTGCGGCGCTGGGCTGCGCTTGGTGGCAGCTGAGCCTCCTGCTAGGGAGACCGGGTGGGCTGCAGGGAGAACGCAGCCATCGCTGTCGCAGTGTCTGCGGCTGCGGAGAGAGAGCATGGTGCTTCCCAGGGTTGATGCTCTGTCACCGTGTGAGAGCGTAGCTACTCTCTCCTACGTTTTGTTTACCAACTGCTAAATCTGTCACTATGTACGTGTAAATTTTTTTATGTGCAAGGAATATTCTAGCAGAACTGGTGCCTGACCTTTGTCAGCCTTTTCTCTCAGCAGCGTGCTGAAGCTGTTTCTTTGTTCTAGCTTATCTGGGAATCAGTTTGGGTTTTTTTAATATTTTATGTGTATCATAAACTATGACTACCTTCATAATAATGTTTTTCAGATTTTAAATGTTATTTATAATGCTCAAACTTTTTATTTCTATCTTTATTAGCC